CCTCCTCTACATCAGGACGACCCAGATACTTACATACAACATTAGCATCATTTCTATCAAATCCATCAGAACAAACAGTTCCCCAAACTTCTTCATTATTAACTTCAAGACGTCCCTCACTGTTATCTCTCCCTCCAACCAGTCTCATCATCATACCTGTAATAAACAATAAATGTCTCTTCATAGTTATTGCTTGGCTCTTATACTTGGACAGTGAACAGCTTTAATGTGTTGAATATCTTTATCTGATAGTATCAGCCTCTGCCCAACATCATCAGCTTTACCTTTATATTTAAAAATCATTGAAGGGACTAGTAGCTGTTGACCTTGGTATGCGTAATAAAATGCACATTGCCATTGACTGTAGTGCATGACAGACAAAAAGTCATAGCCTATTCCATAAAGTCGGAAATTGTTGTTTTTAGCCATTTGGGTACTGCCTGGAAACAGATAAATGTTATAATTTGACTATATTGTATCATAATACTCTTACATGTATTTCTAGCATCAATGGTGACATAATCATCTCTGTCTGATCTAGTTTGTTCATGAGCTCTACCAAGTGTATGCATCACCTCGTGTGCTGGCGTCCTGGCTCTCTTTGCAGTCCCACCACAATCGTACTCCAAGTAAATAGTCCTTGCACCATGGGCTGGTTTACCAAGGTGCGTATAGCAACTATATAATAATATTTATCAAGGTAATTGTAGCTATTTTGTATAATGTCTATATACTCACGCATTTCCTTTAACAAATTTAATGAATATTGTATCATGACAAGTCTTGGCTTCAAACGATAGGCAGGTTCGCCCATTAAGCTCTCTAATAGAATTTTCAACATTTGCTTTTATACGCTTGTCCTTTGTGCTTATGGCACCACTTATTCCAGCTCCAACTTGGTAAGGAATCCTTTTACTCCATCTTGTTGTAGTTGGACTCCATGCTTCAGAGTTTACTAGTCCATCCCAGCCACTCTCATAGTATATTGCTGCTTGTTCTTTACTCACTAATATATCACCATCAATCACTACTGGATCATCAACCTCATCAGGAGCTAGTAAAGGATCATTTTATTTTCATTGACATGTATGTACCTCTTTCTACTTCTGGGCAAGACTCATTTTCAATGTCTTCATCAAAATAATATAAGAACCATTGATGAATCCTACACTAGTCTCTATTGCATTATTATTAACTTACAATCTGGCGGTGGTATCTCTACACTAATGACATTCACTATCATGCAAATAATGAATGCTATGATGAGTCTCATAGTTGCCTCTTGCTTCACTAGTTACTATGCAGTTCTTAGATTTTTATAGACTTGTTAAATAAACTAATTAAAGCTTGGCAGTTTATTTCATCTTGTCCGATTAGAAAAACAATCTGTAGATACCTTAGTAAGTAATTACAAAACTATAAGTTTATTTATCAATAATTAATCCACATTTCAATTGGTACTTGTGTTATGCTGTACAAACCAAATCAAGAATTCATGGTTAACCAAGTGGAGCAAGTAATCTTCTAAGTGCATTAATCTGTCAAACAATATTGATAGTTGGAATAGCTTCAAAAGATATTGATTATAATTTTCCATGACACATTAGTGCCTAAGGTCATGTTGAAATATTTAATTTATAGTTTGATCACAAATTTTTTGAGTTACAAGGGTACAAATATGATATTTGAGCCATTAATGCCCTCATTGCAATACTAGTGTTAGTGGCTCACATGCTTTTGTTATGCTATATCATCTCACTGAGTGTGCATGAATGCATTCATAGTGACACTTGTTTACTTGCAGATTAGCTGATTGTACATTGTTATATCTAAATCTTTATTATCTCTACTCTCAAATATTAAATCATTAATTTAGTAGTGTTAAAGCTATCTGTAGAAAATTTGCCTGTCATTAGTTACTGCACTCCAAGTAGACAGGTTTGCCTCCATGACAAATGTGAGCATGACGAATGTAGCAGTCAGACAGATGATTCTCTGTTCCATCACACTTTAACTGTGATACAACTATTTTACTATCAACTGTATCATCATCATATTCACTCTCTTCATTAGTAAATACTTGTACAGCACT